TCTAATATCTATCCATGTATCTATCTATCTATCTATCTATCTATCTATCCATGTATCTATCTATCTATATTATCTATCTATCCTATCTATCCTATCTATCTATCCTATCTATCCTATCTATCCTATCTATCCTATCTATCCTATCTATCCTATCTATCCTATCTATCTATCTATCTATCTATCTATCGATCTACATAAAACACACATTGTTCCCGGATTTTGAGTAACAATCAACCATTGTCCAACAATTCCGCGCTAGACAAATCTCTACCAAGATTAAAAACTCCTTCTCTGCCCTTTCGAACTGCCCATTTCGAACACGTTATTGTTAGGTTTCATGCGGATTCTGAAAAGTCTTACAAAAAAAACCACCTTCAAAAAGCATACAGCAAGATCCGCATTTGGGTTTAGAGCAAAAAACTTGAAGATTCATCAAAATGGCTTAAAAATACGTTTTTGAGACACCTGGATTTTTAATACAAAAATCAACGGCCGCTTTGAAATAGAGAACACCATTTGTCATCCACGTAGTTTCAACAGTCAGTCCTTTTATAACTTTTTGGCGGTTGCTTGGACCTTTTCAACTTTTTAGCCTGATATCAGTCTGAAATTTAACGTACGACCAGCTAGCATATCAGTCGTATGAAGAGCATACGTCTATTTTAGGTGGAGAGAATACGGTTCTGAATATGGAACAGTTCAGACGGTTAGACCTGTTTCCGCTAAAACCATTGCCTACTAATTATGAAGTTCTTCTTAAAACTTGACTCTGAATAAACGAAAATCTTTATTTACCAGTCCTACAGACTGATCGGAGGGAGTGACTAAGGCTAGTCCATCAGGTAAGGATCACCGTGGTTAGGTTTCCATCTCGCCAAATGAACGAATTTCCTGCACAGGAGAATATTGCCTTTTACATTCTTTGAACGTGATCCCAACGTATCATCTGAGGTGTCCCCATGGTCCTTAGACGTATTTTGATCCTTTCTTTTTGTCGACCTCCCTAGAGGCAACTTTCTCTTACCTCAACGTACGCGCGTTCGAGTCAAAACTGTTCATTTCACCACTGAGGGGACTCAGTATGGCTGTATTTCCTTCACATGAACAAACGCGGTGTGTGCCACCAGCGTGTAAGGGGCCATATTTTTGGTCACCTCAGTGCATAGGAGTCTGAGGGGGCATTGTTTATCTCATGGAGGTAGCTTTGGAAGTCTCCAAGGCCTCTAAACATTTGTGTTAGATGGTAAGTAAGTTCTCCGCCAACTCTTGTGCTTCAAAACTTAATATTAGAGATTACGTCACCGAGTGGAACGCATCTGAATATAACACCGTATTCATGTTGCCATATATTGGCTATTTCCATAGATACTCTAGTCGCTTGTGGCACGGCCTGTCGAATGTGGTGTACTCGTCGTTATCGATATTGCTTGATTCAGGGTTACTAAAAAAAAATGATTCGCTGATTGAAGAAGAAATATTACAAATAGGAATGATGGCTGACTTAGGTTCCGACGGTTAAGGTTACAATCGCGGCCAATGGTAGCTATATCTAACAAATATGAACGTCAGAAACGATCCATCTAGCAGACGCAAAGAGTTTCGTCGTAATATTCGTATTTAGATACAATTAAAGGGGTCACACATAAGAAAAAGTACGAACTCACCATTTGCAAACATTATCAATTTAACTTAATTAGACGTAAAAACCTGTATACACGGATTACAGAGTTGGAAATACCCATGTCTTCAAATAGTTGTCCATGAAAATTGTGTGAGTGATGAAATGAAAATCAACCGATATGCGATGTAACTAGCGCAGAGAATTTGTGAATCAGATTTAAATGTGGCAAAAATCTGTCTGATTTCCATAGACCAAATTTAGATATTACAAGCGTTCTTATACGAGCAATGTCTATTCAAACGAATATAGAAATGCAGCTATAAGTTGCTTGCCGTGATCTTCATTAGTCTGATGTAGGTCTATTGATATCGAACTCGTTACCGACCTTTGGATTAATAATTGAACGATGAGTACGTCGCAGAAAAACGCAATACGGTCTAAATTTTACGCGTTTGGCACGAAGTTCAAAAACTCTTGCCTGCCTAGAGAACTATGGGCTATAAGTATTTACAATCGCTTAAGGGATAAGGTCGGGAAAAACGCTCATCGGAACAGGTACAATACGTGATGCCGATCGAAAGACACTACGTTAAATTACCGGGCTAGAGACTGATTACATGTTTCGCGTATACCAGGCCATGTATAAATCAGGGCCGATATGAACCGTCTACGTGAGATATAGCCCTGCAAATTCTGAAAAACTGATTGGTAAAGATTAAAAGAAATTTAAGGACATATTGTTGAAAGAATATCGGGTTTTCTATTTTATACCAAATTGGTTAGGTAAGAAAATTATTTAAACTGCTATTCAAACGCATTGTGTTGTTTGTATCACTTACGTTGGAGCCCCCTGTGCGGTAATGTAGATACTTTTCGATCAAACATATCGTATTTTTTGTTATTTATTATTTTTACGTATTTTTTTTATTGTTAGTTATTCTTGCTTGAAATCAATGAAGAAAAAATATTAAGTAGGTGAGCGTAGATGTATTGAAAAGTCAGCTTATATATATATAACCCTATTTATTTAACCTTGGTCGTTTGCTTATAGATTACTATCGTACTCATTGGTCATGTCATCGAACAATAACTCCTAATGCGACTAAGTAGATGTTTCCTGGAAACATTTGGCACAAAACTTAGGACAACGCTGTTGAAAACGAAGAAGCTAGCTTCTATATGAAATAGAAGCTACTATGACTATGTTTTCGATTTAATTTATTCGACAACACTTCGGGCGTCGTCTGTATCTTGCTTACACATTGTGAGCTTATAACATCGTGCAAGTAACATGGTCACGATCTTCACCATTTTGTTCATAGACAGAACCATTACTTATACATTTTGACGTCCACCGCAACGACAGCTCAGCCCAAGGAACATTTCCGGAGGACACTTTGGTGACACGTTGTGACTCTTCTATATAGAATCGTCCTTCTATATAGATACTAGAAGGAGGAGATACAATAGAGATAGAATGAATGACTATGTCTAAGGTTAAACTTCTGCGGCCTACCGAACTACATACATTTTAAGCTGAGTTTGTATACGGGTGATCTTCCCGAAAGACTCGCACGATTACTATGGGAGTCGTCGCATGCTGTCCATTGGCTTACTAGATATATTTCTAACCAGCTGAGCAGATAACGTCGACGAATTTATTCAGAATTCAAGCTATTAGAATTTGTTCAGAAGCTTTCTGTTATTTAAAAAAAAAAAAAAAAAAAAGAAAACAACTGCGCAGTGTCCTCTTTAAGGAAAAGCTGTTCAAAGGAATTGAATAATGAGGTCGGTGCAAAGTGACCTTGGACAGTACCGCACTTACTTTCAGATACCGTTATGTTGAGCTACTTGGCGTTTGAGGCTTTATGCACATTTATTTATAAGCATTTATTTTCAAAAGCAGTATTTTTATCGCTTACAAATTACTGAAATGGCACTAAAGAAAAATGATGAATGCCCCAATCCCTAATCAAGCTGTCCAAAGGCAACTTCGACTATATTGCGATACCTTTTTCGTGATAGAGTGATACAAATTTCACCAGGTAGAACATTGATATTCTGTTAATATACCTATCAGTTAAGATAACTATATGATGCGCCACATTTTCGGGTTCGTTACTCCAAGTATAGGCCGATTTTTCCTTGTGAAAATATATATGTATATATTTCTTTGATACGTTGTTTATCGTGACTATCTTCTTCTGCCCTAACCTAGTTTCGCTTTTTTAAAATTTTCGTTTTTATCGCAGATGAACCAAACGTTCGCACATGGCCAATCGGCGGTGGATGCGGGAGTTTCCCACGGCGGGCCCATGTTGCCCCTACCGCTGCCCGCCTCAGTGGGCGGCTCCATGGGCAATATGGGTTCTATGGGAAGTATGGGTGGTATGAGCGCAATGAGCGGTATGGCGGGAGTAACAGCAATGCCGCCTTCGGTTGCTGGGAGACACCGATTAGAGTGCGCCCCCGGGGCACCCATTCCGTATACCATGCAGTTCGGCCATCATAACTGGTACGTATTCGAGATATAAACGCTCTGTGACTTTTTGTTTGTAAGATGTTGAATGGGCAATTTCTCTGCGGGTAGCAAAACAAGACGTTAGGACACATAGAGATTTCTAAAAAGTTCTCTCCCATATGATTATTGCGTATGAACGTAAGATAGAAAGCGAGCGAGAGGCCATAACTATATGAATAGGCACATAAGGAAACCTTAGGCTTTCTGATAAAAGCAGATTAACTAAACCAAAATCCTAAGTTCATAGTGTCCTCTGAGAAATTGCCTAACTAACCTAGTTATTGCGATAAAGCCACAAAAGTCAGAAGATGCGACCCTTCTAGAATAACTATGAATTGCCCAGGAATCCAGCCTCAACTATTCCTATGTTAAAAACACTGTCATAAAATGAGTGCCAGCAAAGATGCTGCAGCAGATTAATAAAAATAACGTCAGTCTCGGCATTGCTCGAAACACAGCTTTCATCGCAATGGCCCAACCACGCTATATATTATAGTTTGTTCGTGATAAAAATATTCTATTCATTCTATTAAATGTAATTTGCCCTGTTTGCACAATCCGTAATCGTTCTGACTTTATCGTAACTTTTTGTTGTTGTTATTAAATTACGACTGTCTGTTTTTCTATTTGTCGTTGTAGAGTGTGGCACTTTTGCACTCGTACACGATAATTACAATCTAACTTGTTTTCCTTATGAAGACAGAAAATATAAACAACATAGAATGCGGAGGCCTTTCGACTCGAGAACATTCAGATCCTTCCGCGAACTCCGTGTATACGTGCAATGATAATAAAATCTAAACAAAAAGCTTTCTTAGCTCTATTAAAATCAACGTTGAAGTCCTTGCTCTTACCTGAATGTTCTACTGACGCAGAGTTATTCTAAACAAAAAAAAAGATTCATTCTGCCTTTATATGAATACAGTCCGCTTGTGAGTATTCAGTTCATATGTGTGCATCTTGTTGCGATCTGCCGAGCTAGTTCCAGGACTTCGGAAGCATTCAGCGTCCGATTCATATATCTCAGAACACGTCTGAATCGAAGAGGCACTATATATACAGATTTCTAAAAAAATTCAGTAAAACACTCTTACGGCTATAGACATTGGTTGAACATATGGGCTGTGATGTACCAGGTAGTTCATTCATACAGGTAGACCTTTCAGTAAACTTTTGGATTGAATTAGACATGCGTAGTTATCACAGCTGAACACGTTTGAATGCGCTTCTGCAACTGTTTTATGCAGAACCTAAGCGATTGACCGTCGACCAATACAAAAACAAAATTTGGATTGGGCATATTAATAATCTGTGCGTTAATTTTTTGTCGTCGTTTCAGGTATACCGCCGATATCGACTATTCCTACCCAGATAGTAAGGCGGACTTTCATTTTTCGGACAGCAAGAAGTACATATGGAATAGATCAGAGGGGTGGTACACTGCTTATCAGGACTACCAGAATACCGACGCAACAACTCCCGCCACTACGACACCTCAGCATCACCCTTCGCGGTAGGTAGGCCGTTGGCCAATGAAGACAACAGTAATGTTACAGTGATTTTAAAGATCAGTACGTGGCTTACACTTTAGGATATAAACGGAATATACCAAATGCTTTAATAATAATATGGCATCGAACTATTAATTTCGTCAGAGCCCTATTAATAATTAGAGAAGCCATTAACAAGCTGCTGACAAACCAATTGCTAAATATTGTCTTGCAAGGCATGATACTCTCGGGAGTCACCCACATAACCTATTTCCTCACAGAGCACGTATGCTTTCTATACCTATCCTTCCTTCTATTTAATAATAATAGATTAAAAATTTTTGGAATTCTAATATTAATGAGCCTTCTTTTTTTTTTATTACTAACCTGATCGAAAATATCCAGAGTGGAGTCCACGTCGTCCGGCTTCTCCCCGTACCCGTCGCCGCACCCCGCTAGTCTCTCTACGACGCCCACGCATACGGGGTCGGGTAGCTCCCCCGCACTGCCGGGCTCGACGGTGACCGCCGCTACCACCCCAGCTGAGGCCGTTAGTGAAGATGACGTCAATGATAGAAGTGGTAAGAGCGGCTCGCAACAACGCAAATAACCATTGATGAAGTTCTAACTATTGTTGCCACATTTTGGATAACTAGTGCCTGTGATGATGTAATAGTAACACGTTTGCCTACTAAACCTAGAAATAGGTGAGTTGGTCTGGGTTCGAAAGCGGATGAAGGCGTATAGTTTCGCAGTAGAAGGGGCCAAGCATCTAAAAAAATTATTTAAAGCACTATTATCAAGTGCGAAAGCTCGAAGCTATTGTACATGGGAGTAACAACATATGTACGGGGCATTCACATCAACTAGTAATGCAAATGTTGAATTCGGTCTCTAGTTAGTTTTAGGAAAACCCAAACTGTAATTAATCCAAGCACAAATTGCTGAAAGTTAGTGGTGTAACGTGACGCAACCATTGCCAAAAGATGCCTTTTTGCCTGACGTTGTGCTTTATGATGTACACCTAGGCTCACCGGATGACGAATCGGAGTGGTCTCCATCAGTGGGCGTCAGTCGATTGGAGCGGGTAGATCGCGAGCCCGGAACGCAAGGCACCGTTCACGTACGCAAGAAGCGCAAACCTTACTCGAAACTCCAGACTCTGGAATTAGAGAAGGAGTTCCTATTCAACGCGTACGTGTCCAAGCAAAAGCGATGGGAGCTCGCGAGGAACCTCAATCTCACCGAACGGCAGGTACTCATGTGGAGCTCTGCAGGAAATTATGCGTATGCATGCTATAATAGATTGTATCTCTGGTCTAAGACGATGTACGATACGCAGTATGGTTAAAACATGTTGTCATGGTAGCGGGAGGTGGCGGAGGCCGTACAGGAAAAGGAATCGTAAAAGGATTCTGAGATTACTGCGGAAACGGGAAAGTCACTTAGTTATCAGTAAAACTATAAAAAAGATTATCATGGCTAGAAGCGGTGTTAAATGGGTGAGGGGATTTAGCAAAACAAACTAAATTTGTACGAAGGCTTAGTATTAAACAGGTTTTGAATTTCATTTAACCGTCACATTTCTTCTGAGATTACCAAAAAAAAACTTATTTTTTAATAGCTCAGTTGCAGTGGCTTATCTAGTCTAGTTTTAGCCGGTTTATCTTATTAGTTGATTAACGAACCAAAACAGCTGATTCAACCTACTGCAATATATAAAGGCGGATAAAAGCCGCTCTAACCTAAGGAAATTCATATTATTTCGTAATATCTCGATGCTGCAAATCAGCATGGGTGTGGGTAAGCTATGCCAGTAGTCCAGAGGGTGTTATTTATGAGAGCGTATATATATATACCGATTACAGATTTAATCGAAAATATAATCCATATTTCCATATCAAATCCTTTTCCTACCTAGCTCCCGACCAAATCAACGAGTTTAATTATCTTATGTCATTTGTCTATTTCCTGTATTCATTTCAACTTATCCGCTTTTCGATATGCACCTCGTCTTTTGTACTTTGATTCGCAGGTGAAAATATGGTTTCAGAACCGACGCATGAAAAGCAAACGGAACAGCCAACGACAGCAGACGCAGAATCGGTCAAGCCAGATCGCGCTAGCCAACAGCCCCCTGGGGGCCCACACACCGGGACCTCCTGGCCCTCACGGCCTATCTGGACTCCCTCCCAGCCTGCCTGGCCACGTGACGTCTGGTCATGTCCCCCTTGGTGGCCAGGTGACGCCACCTAGCACAGGTCCACCACCGCATACGCCGATGGGGCAGTTATGCGGGGGCCCGAGTCTAGGAATGGGGGTCGGAGTTGGATATCCCACACCCGCCGATACCCAGTCATCCTCAGTGTATCCGCCAGTACTCTCCTCCACGTATCTATAGGAATCCGGCAGCTCCTGCAAGATGTGAACGTTCGGCAGCGCAGCAACTGAACAGCAAGGAAATGGAATAGAACCAGGACGATCCGGATGAAAAAAGAGAAAAAACTTAAACAATAGGACGAGAACATTACAACTGTGGAAATAAATAGACAGAAATGAGCAGAGACTATGGCAGATGACGATGACAATTGATATATAAATATAGTATATATAAGTATGAATACATATAGATATGAGCAGTACGACTAATCAACAACAACGGAAGAAACAACAACAATTATATGACTGACGAATGCACGAATTATGAGAACCAGGAGAGCAAACGGATTAAACGAAAAGCGCTGAAGCTGCACAGGATGCCGTGGTTAGCGTTTGCAATAAGCTATTGAAATAGTGCGGCAAGTGAAGTCTACAAGGGACAATACTACCATTAAGGAATACTGATTATGATTCTGACCGGACGATGTCGATAGGCGGAAGAGGCAATATGAAACAATGAACAGCGGTAAATGGTCATCAGTTGATGCAGGCGACGGATGATCAAATCGAGGCATTGCAAAACGCGAACTAACAACACAGAGCACCAATACAATCGTAGAGATGCAAATATCTAAATGCCTATCAACACGGAGGGACGTTGCACTCCGATCCGGATCGAAGCACCGTAGCATCAAGCGACGGCGGATTATGATCAGTCTTTGTCATACTAAATAATAACAATAAAGAACAGTATGTATCATGTCATATAAATAAAGCTTCATCGTCTCGCCAGTGGTCATAATGATCTGCTTTACCCGACGAGATCGGAACAGGAACTGCGCGGAAAATCTAATGTCGATAATGAGAATAATAATAATAATAATGCAAATTACAGTAATGATAATAAATATTATAATAAATGATGATGGTGATGATGATGATGATGATGACAATGGATAATTATAGAAATGATAATATGTCGATGGTAACGAAAATGACATAAAGACACACCTTCACACAACGAAACACAGACACACAATGATAAAATTAACGGACCGATGGTAATGGCAACATTGACACCAACGATACATAACATAATGAAGATCAAAGATGAAGACGACGAAAGCGGGAAATACGGTGAAGTAAAAGATAAAATTAAGTATGAAAAACAATAGGACGAACGTAAAATAGAACGATCTACATACGAAACAGGTGGAAATAAATACAACAAGCAACATGAACAAGAAAGGCTCTGCTAGACTTAGTATGATCATGTGTTTTTATTTCGGATAACTGAACGGATAAACACAGTAGTACGTTTATTAACAAAAGCAGTTCCATGACATAGGACCACTCCATGTTTGTTTGCATCTTAAATATCCATGTTTTCGACACCGGTGAAAAATAGGGCACACATACGGTAGAGCATGAAAAATTTAGATGGGTAGATTGATCAACAGCTTTGTTAGAGCAATATTTAAGCTCATCGTTTTTAAATTGTGATTACCGTCATATGTGGATTCGTTTTTTTTTTTTTTTGCTTTTTCCGGCCAAAGCAATCAATCACACGGTCATTTATTTTAAATTTAAAATAACCGCCCGTTGGCCAATAGAGTTCGCAGCGCGCTATATCTTGCCGTAGAAGTTAAATCAGAAAATCTACCTATTATTGCCACTAGCAATTTCATTCAAAAGATCCTTTTATTAGTTACCAAACTAAGGCGCTCGTTTTTGTTGCTTGTTCAATATATAAGAATCCACTTTTCTTTCTCTTTTTTTTTATATCGTTCCTATAGGTCGTGCAATTTATCAGGCACACTCTGTTGCCTGCACTGTATTTTTCTGATTTTCAGGAGTGAATTGTGTACAATGCCTTAAGAGACAGACGCCTTTGGAACTCGATATCTTTCATATCGTCGGAGAGACGCACGAAAAATTACTCAAACACTCCAAAAGATCTAAAGTAACTTTGGAGTGAAACGTGGGTGAATTTCCAATACGAACTTTCCTTCAGGAAACCAATAATGGAACAGTTAGCGAGTAGGCTAATAGCCGTACACAAACATTATGGCTTTTGCTTCCTCGGTTACCTCAACACTTTTCTTCCGCTATCCGGGTATTTGGGATATGACTGGTGTACCATAGGATTGTTAATGCTGCAAGCTACATACGTTTTATGTAGTTGACAGTGCAATTTTCATTATTCTTATTATCAAGCCTAATTTCCTACTTTGGGTAAACTGAGAGACGTAGAAATCCTGACACGGCGGGGAATATTTTCGACTCCTGTAATCCTCTATAGGCTTTACTACCATTGCACTTACTTAAATCTGCAATCCAAGCATGATGATAAGTTTTTCGTCTACTCTGCAACGGTGCCGTTCGTACCACATCATTGTCCCTTTTTCATTCCTACGAGTTCTATTCCGAAGATCGAAGCCCAATTTTTAAATAATCGTCTACAATTTCGTCTGCTCCTAGTCTGCCTTTTCGGTGGCACTCATCTCACAATCGTCCGAGCGTTAGAATATGACAATCCGCGCTGCTATTTTTATAGCTTCTAGACTTTTCGGAGAGTGTAACTTCTGCGTTTTATTTTCAGCAAATGTCCGAACGTTTTTATTAAATCTGCCAAATCAAAGTTTCAGGGATGTTAGTCAATACGAGTGTATGGTCTAGCAGGCCTTTTTTGTCGATATTCGCTATCGTGTTTTCAGTTTTTTTTTTTTTTAACACACTTGTGCAGCCCGAATGACCAATATACTCAGCACGTGTTTATCCGCATGTATTTCTTAGGCAAGCTTCAGCATACTTATCAATGAGAATACCAGTTCGATATTTTAGGCTAATCCAGACGCTTAACTTAATATTGTACTGTACCCATCTTTCGAGCTACTCAGTACACGGCGGGTGTTTGTTCTGCTCCTCAAAAACTCTACTCTTGACGTATTTGTGTTGCGGGTAATATCTCACTTAACGCCTTTACGGCCTTTGTGTGTACTTATGAAACGCTTGAATGTTTTTCTCGCGTCTTACGTCAGGTACGTAAGCCATTAGGCGTTGTTTCAGACGGCTGGCTTCCAGTACAAAGCAAAGTATATTTACGATTGGAGTCGAACTTAGATTACCACGTGTTCCTAAGTTCAGCAGGCAAGCGCGTTATTTACTGTGCTATCAGAAAAACTCATGGTACGCTTACTCACCACCGTTAGTAACCATAGCAAAAAGAAAAACCTCTTTCAATGAACGAGATTGACTGTTCAGCAAACTTCGTTTCGAATCCATCTTTTTCTGTGGGTAACTGAGAGCCGAAGAGCACGTGTGCTGTATCTTCGTTTTTGCGTACGCACGAGTCGATCGAAATTTCTTATCTAGATCATCATTCTCAATTAGGAAGGGGCATTATTCGCTCGGTACTTCGCACGCTGACACCGTTTGCCTATTGTATACCTAAACGGTGTCGGCGAAATCTCCTACAACGTTATTTCCGTGGTGAACGCGATCTCCAACTTTGGGGACGCTGAACTCGTGGTCCGACACAACAACGATTACTAACTGCTTTCTGCCACACCTAAGCCAGACCACACAAGCCAGCTCATTCATTTATAAGAAAGGCACCCATAAAAACGTTCAATACGTACTTTTCACGACCCCGACATAACTATTTCCATAATAAACAGTTTCTATTTATTTCTTTATCTCTTATTTCTCTAAACGAACAATTGTTTTGTTTCCTGAGAAAAGGCCAAAAAGACTGCGGTTTGACACAATGATCTTGAGCACAGCTGTACAATTCAGGAATATAGTCACCTATTTAGAACTGTCTGTATCTTGATATAGCTTTCTGGACACTAAAGTTGCAGATGTAGATCTGAAGGGTTCCATCTGAACCAGAGATTACGGAAAAAGCCCCATACAACTAATTAGATCCCATTAACGGTCATTAACGGTCGAATTTGAACAATAGCTGCGAGATGCAGCGAGCAGTGCGCAGCATTTATCTTCAAAACTTTAAAAAAGATTTCTTTTTTCGTCTCAGCAAATAGGTCTGTTTCTGAACTTAATTAGTGTTTCACAAAATCTTCATCTGATTAGTAATAGTTTCGCAAGATTACACATCATCTCAACGAATTTTAATATGTCCTATAGTAATAATAAATTCATTTTTATCATTTTTGGTTGAAATAATTGAATAGCTCTAACCGAATTAGAGGATCCTTCTTTATGCTCGCTACGTTTCTAGTTTTTAGAAAGAAAATATCGATTTCAACAGACCTTATTATCCAATTTTAAGCTCCCGCCTAATTTTGTCATCTCAGAAGTATTATCCACCTTTCATCGTTTTCTTTCTAGCTATTTATTTTTTCATTTAAAAATTATATGTATGTATATCTAATATTCTCTGGCCTAATTTAACCTAGACCGGCTAAAGATATTACCGATATGCATACGTTACCCTGTTTAAATTCGTCTTTGAAATTACAACGGAGGCCATCAAACGACGCACCTTAAGCCTCATATAATAACATACATTCTCAGCTGGCTTTTTTTTTTTTAACCTACAGACAGCGCTGTCACAGTATACAAAACCATTATTAAGTCACTATATATAGTCGTTTTTGGTTAGTGTGGCCGCTGGCACGAAATGTGCACCAGTTCCTAAAGAACGATTATATACATGTACATACGCGTTATCAGGATTCTATCAGAACATGATTTTACTGCCCTTATGAATTATCACTACGTCACGCCTACGTCATAATAAAGGTTTACTTTTTCGGGAGAGGCTGAATTGAACAATAGTAACATTCATACATAGCTAGCCCTTAATTTATTCATAGACACGAAGTACGAAACCCACTTGTGGTGATGGCTCGTTTTCAGTGGTCAAAATTCAATGGTCAGGGTCGAATTTGATGATTCGACTCTTAACGAATCCTCTCTTTTACATTCGAACAAACGCATTTAACAGTGCTTATAGTGACTTTCGATACAAACAATTTCAGAAACACGAAACAATGAAAATCGCTTAAATAGCAAATATCCATTTCGTCATTCACCTCCGTGATCGCCTAACCGAATTATATTCAAACACAAAAAATAACAGCTTTGCTCAGGCGGATCAATTGTACGAGCTAGATTGAACAAACACGGCCTACAACGCTGAACGCAGATTTCACCTTTTCAGTTATAGTTGGAGTAGTTTTCGATTCGTTTGATCAAATATCGCTCCGCGGGCTACATTCGTTTTCTGAAAATGATCTAGTTTACTGATTCGCCTGTACGACTAGAAACGTTTAGAAATCGGTCAAATAAATGCGAGAAGGGCGAATCGAATCACGCCAAGCAGACGGGTCACCCAACAGCTTAGGCCGAACAACAGCCACCCAACTGTCAGGCTAACGGTGTATATAGACAATCTATGGATTAGAAACACAGTCCCGCGCAACAGTTTACGCACCCACACGATAATAAAGTGGCAGGCTAAACGTTTCAAGTAAAATGCTCCATTACGGAAGGCCAGTAGTGCCACCAGCATGAGGCAAAGACAGAGACAGCTGCAAACGATGCAAAATCTCAAGAAAGGATACCGCCGTAAAAATGGGCTAAATAAGGCTTTTCGTGCCGACCCGGAGCTTACTGTAGACGTACTCGAGACGATGCTTGTCCCAAGCGTAGGCACAGTTTGACCATTGCTAAGGCACCGTATTGTGACGCCAGCAGGCACTCGATTCAGAAGTATGTCCTCGATAATTCTCGACCTCTGCAAGAGAGACGAAACGAATCATTGCCGATAGGTATATAGCCCAAACAAATATGGACAAATACTAACTATATGGAGTTGAATTGAGCAGGGTGCATTTGTAGCGATGCGAATATCACTGCCACAGGCGATCTTCCAAATTAACGTATAGCGTGTCATCTTTGTCAATAATATATATAATTGACCTCGTGTTTCAGGTTTTGGCATTTTACACTTGGCTTTGTTATACCTTCCATAAAGCAAACACGTATATTGGTCCGAAGTATCTGATACAGTAGCTTGCGCCCGGTTGCCGTTCATGTTTAACTCAATTGATAACGACTGAAGTGAAAGTGGGAAAAACCTTCTTCCATTGTGTATAAAAAAAAAAAAAAGGCCAAGAATTGTCACCTATGTGGATAATCGTGTTCATATTCTGAGGTAGTGCACCTTTTCGGTCAAATTAAGTATCCCATCGTCCAGAAATCAACGATTAATCAAATTTTCTTAATATTGTTTAAGGAAGGTCTATTGTGAATGCCTGTAGTCTGGTTTCTTCGTATGAATGAAGGACACCCTTCATTCACGCGAGATCGTAAACAAATAATGGCAAATTCTTTGTAAATGTTTTTTCCGTCCGTCCGTCTCTCAGTTGCTTCTTTGCTTCTACAAACCACATTCTTTTACCTCATCAAATGTAATAAAGGCGAGATGTCTGCCTTCTGCTGAGGTTCTGCTGTAGACGCTTAAAACAAATGTGATTAAAATGAAACGTATTTTTCACATTTAGCTTAGTTAGTTTTAATGAGGAAGGCCTCCTAAAGGCATCTTTGCTCACGCTTTGGCATCCTAAATAACTTATAAACTGATGAATTGTAGTTATTTAGCTGTAAACTGGGAGCTCGTATCTGCGGGACCTGCTTGAAAATTAAGAGCCTGGGTGCCCTGTGAAGTGAGTGAAAGCTATAACCAAACACGGCTCCTCATTATCTTTCGAAATTTCGTTGCACACGGGGCAGGCAACAAGTAAGCACACACATATATATATATATATATATATATATATATATATACAGAACAGAGAAAGAAATGAGTGTCTTTGGGAGATAAGCCGAAATGAAGAGTTAAGCCAGTTCTCCATCCGAGAAAAGACATGATTTGCGTTTGATAGAAACCGTATCGTGTTGTGCACGGAAAAAGCTTTGAGAAAAATCTGTATGTGACCCAATTTCTTAAAGTCAATAAAGTCATTCAACAGAAAAGGCTGGCTATACAAGACAAAATTGTCTTTGTTTATGACAATGTCTGACAACACCTGGCGAACATCGTTGCAACATCTTTTGGAGAGCCTAACCACGAGGTTCTTCTGCTTGAAAATATTCACCAGACCTCGAACCGACAGACTATTATCTTTTCCATATAGTGTATTTAACTCTCAAGGAAACCTGGAAAGGAAGAAAGTCAAGGACGACTGGCTGGCCAAACTCTTCAACATCAAGACCTGAACCCTTCCGGTGGAAGTACATAAATAAATCAGGTAAAAGGTGAGAGAGGGTCGAAAATACAATGCTAAATGTATAATGAATGAATCTGTTTCTAGAGTACGAGTAAAGTGTTTTTTTGTTTGTTTTAAAGGTAGCCATCGTTTAAGTCACTGCCGAATATATAATGACACAATACGTGTCAGAGTTTTGTTTATTTGCACATAATATTATCACTTGACGCGCCTCGCTAATATCACTCGTGTAAATACTTATACGCTACTCTGTACTGAAAGTTTCTTGTGTGCCGGCCTGTCGGCACAGCCCCACCAGACTAATCAGACAGTCGCACTTTACATTTTACATTACAATTTACTTTACATAGATCGTGGCTGGTAACAACAATAATAAAGCGGCAATATTCAGCAATCATTTGAAAAGCAGCTTTCGGAAAAAGGACCATATTTGAGGTCGCTATCCACACGCATATCTATTACAAGTGAGAAAAAAAACTGACCCCTCACTGAAAGTAACAGATGCAAATGATTTCAACCATTCCAGTGGACTGCAAAGTCTAACGTAAACAGCTGATTAGAATTGGTCCTACTTGGGCACACAAATCACTCCATCTTTACGGTTTCGCGCGTTCCTATTGACTAGCGGTACACGGTTTTCATGACACCCACCAAATTTGCTGTTTTAATCTCCTGTTCAAGATTTTTGGTGTTATGTTTTCCCGGTGACGTAAGGCACTCTAGGCACTTTTTTGGCTCAAATCGCTTGTTCGGTGGTGTATCTGTCTCAAATGAATCACCCTCCTCCAATGGAACAATCACCTGGTCTTCAGAAACGCTCTTCTCCGTCATTTCAAGGTGTAAAACTCCCACCTAAACCACAATCGAATCTCATAGCATTCACACCTTATTGAGACTTCCGTTACCTTCGCATGGCCTGCTCACAAAAGTCCGATCAAATAGCAATTTCAAAAACCAGATGATCGGTATTTTGCGACTTTAAGAAAACGCGGTATAGATAGGATGAATGGATAGTTTACCGTCCGATGCAAAAGAGTTCAATGGAGCCTTAAACGCGTGAGCTTTTTGGTCTACGATGCATGGGTTAAATCTGAACAGATACCCTTTTTGAAAAAAAGCAATTATAACACACGGAATAATAGGTGGCCAATGTAGATAATCATCACATAAAGAAAAAAAAATTGACAACTATACTACAATCCTAAAAGAGAATATCTATGCTAGAAAATATCTATATTATTACTTAATGTTGATGAATATTGTACCTTCCAGGCACCCTGAAGAAACAATATGTTGAAGTTACCCAAGGTGATTGTGCTCAGCACCCATTTGAGTTTTGTTCAGTAGCTTGTTTATTCGCTGCTCCGCTCTGATAGATAGACACTCCTAGTGACGTAATAATAAATGGTACGTCAGATATCACCTACAAAACCAGCATTTCGTCTTCCTTCTTAATTAATTGTATATTTTAGGCTATCACAAGCCAGTCTGGCGAACTGATAACTTGAAACTATGCGCCGGTATTAAATGAAATTGGTATGGTAAATATTCCAGTCCTCTAGAAACTTGTGAGTGAAAACCCTTGAGTTTACTCGAGGAAAAATCAGAAAGAACATCTTTTTTTAAGTCTCGAAAACGAATACGAAAACGTCAAGTTTCTGTCCTTTAAAGGCAAGATTGCTGCTGTAATCCATCGAAGACTAATGAAAACAATATTTAAGAAGGCCTTGAGCGAAAGCTCACTACGTGAATGGTGCAAAGGTTTCAAAAAAATGGAGACTGGAGTGTTGAAGGCTAGCGACGCGGCGACCCGATATCGGAACCTCAAGAACACGAACACTTTGTTGTAATCGAGGAAGGTTTTACAAAAGCATAGCTAGAAATCTAACAGCCTCCTCAGCTAAAACTAGCGTTTCACACGTAATGTGCTACATGATTACAACCCAAACATTTAAAATGCGTAAACCTAATAAAAATGAGTCCTTTGTGAATCGGCTCCGGGCTAGTTGGAAATGCTTGTGGTTTATGTCAGGTGCAACAAAAAAACGCATGGAGCAGACGTTCCCCATAGACAAGGTATAGTTTATACTACGTTTACGGTCAGTCGAAGAGAAATTAGACGAGAGAGTGGCCTCGCTTTGGACAGAAACCCAGTTGACTGACAGTGACCACCAGCTTCGGGCGTAAAACTATGATAGGACTTGCAATGGAAACCAGAGACACCTGCTACTATGAGATACCCGCCGAAAATAAAGCAATGAATGCATCCCGCTAGCTGTATAAGGTGGTCACAGAAGTCTTGCACGGCGACCGAAAGGGCACAATCTGGGTACTTAATGACAACACCATGCCTGAATTCCTGGACTGAGCAAAAGAATATCCAACGTTGGTTTGAACCCGTCTATTCTCCGATCTTTAAATTAATGCCATTATGGAGCTTTTCATGCTCTAAGAAGGGCAATTAGAAGCTAGGCATGTCCCACTATCTATCTGTTTTTTTATTACATATGGGCACGTGAACAGAAGGTAAATACATCACTCCCCAGAAGCTGAAATAGAAAGAAACGCCTTTGATAGATATGGAAAATCATCATTCATGAATTCAATCATCATGAAGAATCATGATTCAAAGTTACTTAATTCCAAAATCCGCCGAATTGATTTGATTATGATAGCTTAATAATTATATACTACATAATGCTTATTTTGTGTGCCACTCGCCACCATTTATGAAAACAAAAGCGTTTTCACCTCGATCTCAATTCAAAATCGATCAAAATCGCAGTTTTTTTCGTACTCAGATTCTGAACTGGTAATAGATTAACTACGGTTCGTACTTTAGCAGCTTATATACATAAGATAAAACGGACGTTAGTGGTGTAGGTAGGTTCAGTACGTTGCACAGAACGGCTGACGTTAATAAATTGAACATATGCCTCTTTGTCAGATGACAGTAACCCCCCTTTTCAATTCCGTATGCATAGCAGAACAAGTTCTATACAAAACCTACGCACGAACTATTAATAGCTGGGTCACTTTCTTACGACATCTTACGATTATCGAACATGTCATTTGTACAAGTTAAAAATACTTGTAAAATGTTATAACCAAGCGTAGTGAACACCAAACATGCGTTACACTTAGAAAATACTTGTAAAAGCCGATCGGAATAAGATGAAAAAAGGACACATTAGATCTAATAACGTGATGTGGAACGTCGAGACGTTTGACGCTGAAATTTTTAACGACTTCTAGGGTCATGGAACGCTTAAAGAGCTAATAACAGTGGACTCTTGTCGCTCAATGCTGATGATTGCTTTCAATGCATATGCTGCTAATTATTTAGATCAATTTATAGTATTTTGTTGCGTGCTTTAGGTCATTGTTGAATACATTCAAAAGCAAGAGCAATAATAACCGTTTTAGTAAAGAATAAACACAGCATCTATTTAAGATATAAGACGGCTATATTAGCAACGGACAAATCATACGCTGCTTCGAGATCTTTCCAGTTCGACTAGTGCTGGAAAAATTCAACTGTTTACTGAATATGAACGTAATACAGAAATAAAATAATTATTAAATAGTTACTGCAGACGTACCATTTCAGATAATCTAAACTCAAATATATGCCAAAATATGCTACTAGAAAAGGCGTCAATATTTCAGCTAAATGTAGAGCTTTCAATTCTCACAAAAATGTTAACTTGCTTTTAATTTTTTTTGAGAACAATAAACGCACTTCAAGCGTTAGGTAAGTACAAACTTATTTATTTATTCATGTCCTATTTAATAGCCGCACATAGAATCAAGTTGTGTTCCCAAAATACATCCTCACGTCAGACCACACCGTTTCAGCGAAATCAGATCCGGCATAGCGTATTCCGACGTACGGTTGAACTCAATGTAGTCAGCCGGTTATTCCAAATCCGCCCCTACTGTTTGGCCACCAACCTTATTCTATTGTTAACATTTTAATCATCTTTATCCTCGACGTCCAAATCATCTAACTCTTCTTCTAACCCCTCTAGGTCTTCCTCATTGAACAGTTCTTCATTAACTTGTACCTCCTCCTGAAATGTAGTGGCGATAAATACACATATTTTACAGTGATTGTATAACTACCTATACAATACCCATATTAAGTATCGCAAATATAATAACAAAAAATGACCTGCACTACACCAATTATATGGCGGGCCTACAAATATAATAAGTAATAGAAGCATATCTAATTCTGTGCGTTTTTCGACTGTAACTGGCTTGACTTTAGCCGCGCTGGTGGTTAACGCTGTTAATAAAGTTCTCGTTATGATAACATAATATAACCTTTTTAGGTTGCTCAAGCTCCCAATGTCGCTTCTCGATGATCGTTCCTTCAGAAGGTAGCCGGGTGTCTAGATCTTCTCCTGCAGCAGCTGTAACTTTACTGAGTTCCTCAAGGTTGATCTCCTTTGCCTGAATGGCCACGTCGTCGTCGTCGTCTTCGCGTTGTCGAATGTCGAAAGCCTCACCTGATGGAAACCGAAAAATCGTATACACATTAATTACCTTATAAATTAGAACAAACTTAGAATTCCATTGAGGAGGACCTAACGATGTTTTAGATCTGGTACGTGTAGCGTGTGCGGGCATAGAACGCATAAGTATTTATGCAAGGAGAACAAAGTATAGGACTCACGGCTTCTGCAATGGGTTGAATGGATTAACTCTTGGAGCTGTCTTATCTATATCTCGGTAAAACTGAAAGGAAAGAAAGTCGTACCATCGTCTCCATTTTCGTCGTCGTCTTGCGCGAGTTCGGGGTTGAAGGTGAACATGTCCCTGCCAGATAGGCCTACTCTGTTTCCTGCTTTGAACTCGGCCTTTTTCTTTTCATTTTCTTTGCGAGCGTTTTCCTTACGTTCCTCAATTTTTCGGCGTTTCCATGCAAGGAATGTTTCAAGGGTGATTTTCGTTTGATAGTGTCCGAGTGCCGCACGTTCTATCTCTACGAGCTCCTCGATTGAGACGTGGTCCCCTTTATCCTCCTTTTTGCGATCCTTCTTGAGGACAAAACCCGGCGGCAGAGCATGCCGATAATGACACTTACTTCCTCCGTTTGGACATTCCCAGAACCATCCATACTTCGACGATTCCAAGGCCTCCAGAAAGTGCTTACAAATCTAAATTGCAACATATAAACAAAACGATGTTACAGACCTAGCTATGATAATAAAAATAAACTATATTCCTATAGACTATAATATTAGAGAATGATCCTAAAGATGGAATACAGGATGTCTAGCACATTGGGCGTTGGATGAGTATTTTGTTTGTCTATATAATTGGAATATGTCAGTTTGCATTGCTATGACTTGGAAGGCGTGTATTTATCAATATATACAAGACGTGTTCTTATGAATAGCGGATGTTCAATAATGAGATAGCCAGTTTTAAGTGTAATAAATGAGATAGCGCTGTTACCGCAACTCACAATGTCGGTTTTTGGCATCGCCTTCTCGGCCGCCCCGTGTTTCTTTTCAACAACTTCTCGAAGCTTGTCCTCGTCCCAGTCTTCCATTGTTTCTTCCCGTTCGTCGTGGTACATGTTTTTTTTTTCCGCTTTTCGTTCTTGAGCGAGATCATGCGAGAACTTGCACTTCGTGCCCTTTGTACAGACGCCCTGCTTAAAGAAGGCGCACACCACCGTCTTGGGATCGGCATCTGCAGAATACAGAACACCACACGAAACGTGAAACAATCAAAATTAGCAGTCTAATCTACAGCACTAAATGGACAAGCGATGTTTTTACAGAATTCTATGTTTACTATTGCTTGAGAGCATGTTGCTACCTATAATCAATATCTAATTACAGTCGTTTACGGAACAAGCAAGTTCTATGATGCATAAGAGCGCACTGTCGCGATACATTCCGGCCTAACTGCTGACCGTTTATAGTAATAACGACGCCTGGTTCCGTAACTCACTCGACCCCTGTATTTGGGAAGAGCTGTTAAGTACCTTTCGGTGCTTTCTGGATGACCGGTCGGAAAAGAGCGTTTAGCTCTGCCAACTCTGCATCCTTCTTTTTTTTCTCTTCCTTTTTATCAGGAGCTGCAGCTCGCGCGGGCTGGTTACCCTGATGAACCTGTTTTTGCACCTGCTGTATAAACTTCTGATTCTTGGCGCCTTTTTTATTCTTCAAACCAAACGTTTTGTCCTGCAATATATCAAACGTGCAAGCAACAGAGGCTATGACGAATATGTTGTAATTATTATTCCTTGTTACATATGGTCTTATGAAAGGAAATAACACACTACAGCAACACGGGCAATAAATAAAGGTAATACGGATCGTTATACTCTCAGGTAAACAATTGACAGGATAAATGTTCTACAGAATTTCCTACAAAAGATCATTAATAATGGTTTTACCTGTGGCCCGGTCAGGTTCTCTGACTCAGAAATAAATTCATTACAATCTTGTGTTGCCTTATTTCTTTTTGAAGATTCTGATTTATACTGTATTGTAACTACAAACTTCACGTCCTTGCGATGATTCTATAATATCCCGTGAGTCGGAAGAATATTAGCCCTTAAGAATGATTACAAATTACGCTGTTAGGTAACGCTGTTAGGTAACGTCATAACTTTTGAATAGTTATAAAGGTTATCATTTTTTATTAAGCCCATTTCTACAGCTCAAAGGTAGGTCAGGATGTATATTCTCTAAAGACCTGGATTCTCATTGCGAGCTCAACAGAGAATAAGGTCAAAATGGTTTACAGCATAATAAAAGAAAACCGTATTCAGCATAATAAAAGAAAACCGTATTTAAGAAACTGAAACACGCTGCAAACTTTTTACGTTTTTACAAGAGAGGGTCTCAGAAAAACGTGCTTATTAGCCGTCGAGCCTTAACACTATAAGAAATGAAATTTGTTTCTGTTTTAACAGATACATGTAACCTCGATTCACACTATTTTATTAATTAATGCATCAGCACAAGTTTAAAAATTCTTAGTTTATTGACGATTCCAAGTGACTAATTTTACTTGCAGACTTCGTATGTGAAAGAGATCCAAATGTGGCTGACTGTATATATAATGGGTCCAGTAGGCTTGGTCAGTGGTGTAGAATTCGTAGTTGGCATTCGATTACCGCTCCTATCTAAATCTCCCGGCTTGCAGATCGACCCATACCTGTGCCCCGAACGCGGTGGATGGTTCCTGCACCTCCACGCCAGAAACAGGGGCACAGCTTCGTTGGCATTAGCGATAAAAGTACACTTCGCTAGAAAATCCGCTTTTTAAAAACCCAAAAAACATCGCGATAGTATACACGCACAAGTGAGTCCCATGCTTCGATTTTAGACCCTAATAAAAACGAGCGACAGATTTCTTCGTGGAGATAGATACGCTAGTCAACCGGAAGAGCACTATGGTAGCATATTTAATCGAGTACGATGTTTCAGCCGAAACATGCTTCCGAACGGGGTGAGGAAATTAGCTATTGGGCAGCTAAATTTCATTGACGTGTACAAACCTCGATCACTTTCTCCTTTTTCTTCTGTTCAGCTTTTTTTGAGGGTCCCGCGGGTGCTTTTTTGGGGGGCATTTTCATTTGGGTCACCAAAAAAATCCTTTCAGAATGGTACCGACAGAACCACCAAAACAGAAATATGTCGACTCTATATGGGGGCCGCCATCTTGATTTTAAACACCGGATCATTTCTTTACTGGCACCAAAAATTATTATGCTGATAAAGATTACGCGTGTTCATAAATTATCTGGTGAATGGCAAATTTGATTAAAATAACTATAGAATGTGTTTATGATAACCATGAATATTGTTGGAAAAAATTCGATAATAGCGGGAAATTCGAATTTTGACATATTAATACGCATGCTTTCCAGACAGACTCCAAGATCAGCGTACCTTCGCACTATAATTCATTTATTTATCGTTTGGGTCACAAGTCGCAAATAAAAAGAAGGATTATTCTATGCGCATAAATTGTTATAACGGCTTGAAATAGTAAATATGAATACTTATATTCCCAACAAATGTCGCTTTTCAAGTCAACGGATTTCAGAGATTTCTAAATTCTGCGCTTTATACAGTATTTCAGCGGATGTTTTAGCGGTTGAACCTTACTAGCGACTACTTTGGCCTTTTGTCTCCAAAACTACGTTCAATTCAGTTAATTCTCTGCAAAACCCTTAATTAGTGTCTTACATACGTACTGAAATTAAAGCATAATATAGACTTGAACTCTACCACCCCCCGAGAGTACTCCAAGCGATCCTTTTCAGTGGGTCGATGTTTTGTTCCCCTTCGCTCGGTCCACTTCTACGTACACAAATAGTTCGTAGCCAATTGAAAGCAATCCAGCCCTCTCCAACCCTCACTCCAATTCAAGATGGCTGCTGACAAGGCGTCTGTCAAAGTGACAGCCTTTATTAAACCGTTGTTGACAGAGCGATTGCAATTGGAGAAAGCTGACGAATTTTTCTGCTAATCGCTCCATTGGTTTGTTCGGCTCGTGCTAGCGGCGGGCAATGGTTCCAGCGTCAATATTATGTTGGTACGCGTGCTACTGCTACTGATATCCGTTCCGACCGATTGTTTACATATTACCCCGTAGGTTACCCTTTAACGGCAGCAGAAAGTCGTGGCGCAGCTACTTGTATGTGCGGAGCGAGGAGGAGCTGCAGTACAATGCAGTGTGCTGCCGTTCGGGCAGTAGCGGGCTGCCAACGAAGGGGCAAGCGGAATCTCTGTGGAGTATGGCCGTCACTTGCCATCCAGTCCTGGATACAAAGGGCAGAGTGTTGTGGTGTCCTTATCGATAGTTCGGAAAGCCGTGTTGCACGGAAACTGGATGCAAACAGCAAGCTCAAATAAAGGGAGCCTTTGCTCTACCAGTGTTTCAATCGCCGCAGCAGCAGTGATGAGTACTGCTTTGCTCCGCGTTAACCGTTACATACCAGTATTTTAAAGAGAAATTAATATCAGTATGATTAGAACGGTCTCTGGCTGATGTTTATGTACTTGAAGAAAGGAGGATGTCGACCCAGGTCGTCGCGACGTGACGGAGCGTATGTGTGGCTTTGTTGTGTCAGGCGTGCTTAGTGCCTTTCTGTTGTCGGTGAATGGTGACGGACCAGACTAAAGCGAACAGTACGATCAGGATTTTTGTATGCTTGTTTCTGTTGTCGTTTTCCATCTTGTTATTACTTCCGCTGGCCGTGCTTGACACAATGAGGGACAGCGTACCTGCTATGTATAAACATTGTCTCACCTCAGTGGATTAAGCCGACTGTGGGACGATGACCACAAAGTGCCAGTGTATATAGTGAAGAAACATAAGATCAGAAGAATATCAAAAGAAGATCCTGTGGTGAAAGACGTGCGCTCTGTTGTGCTCGAATTTATGGTCGCAGCACCAGTAGTCAAGGAGGACGTACTGGTCTAGTTCGATGCATTGGTTGTGAAGAGTGTTAATGAAGAAGCAGAAAAAAACGTGCGTTGATAAAGAAAAAGGGGATCGTTGTTAGGGTAAGTACAAAAATTAATGAATGAGAATAACAGCCGAATAGCACGACGACGTACAGGATCGATTTGTTCTATGGCTGGCAGTGTTGGGCGGATTGTAGAATTTCGGTGGGCGTAGTTTGTTTTATTAGAGGAGAAGTCTGTTCTATTCTGCTTTGCTGCCCTTCGTTGAAACAATGGCTGCAGTTGAGAAGACGGGCAACGCCTGTGAATGATAAAGCAAACGGGGCAAACTTTGGTCTGAGGGTCGAACGGGTTTCAGTCGTACGCAGAAACGTCCTGGAGGGCGCTAGACAAAGTTGACTTTGTCAAATCCAGAGTTAGACGATTTAAATATACCTTAGGTTAGTGTGTGAGACTGACTAACTGTGGTAATTGCACACCTTTTTGAAGCTGCGGTTATGCTGCAGTGTACTGGAATCAAATGCAAATTTAACCGTTATTTGCAACCGTAATTTAGGGATCATCGACCGAAAAATCGACGTTTGGTTACGGTCAGCGTGGTCTAAATCACAAATAGACACATGGTGGAGAGCTATTAGGATGCGTAGACTTATAATGGCGTTGTGAGACTCGTTTTTAAGGGATCCTTATGACGGTAAGTTAGACTAGGAATCATTAGTATAATTAGTATTGGTGGTGAACTGGTAATGTTGCGACAAATTCGAGCAAAATTCATAAATAAAAGCAAATGTTTTTTTTGCTTAATGGCGCGGTTGCTCACATCTGCTTTCACATATTACGTTCGTCTAATGGGTTATTTTTCAAAATCGTCATTTCGACTATCTCAACGGTTCCTGACGACTTCGCTCAATGTTCATCTGTCCTTATATATATTTAGGGCCTTATTCTTGTTGGCACGGTGCTGTGCTAGCCCTTCGTGAATATGGTGTTCGGCGTATGGATAGATGATGTGACTACAGTTCGGTGTAAGTGCATAAACAGCAGCCATGTTGACAAACTAAGTATAAGCTTAAGTAGCATTTAAATGTCTTCAAATTGAACACGTGCTAACAAATTGACCCGGCAACTTTCAGAGTCCCCTTTTGGGGTTACTTTCAGCTGCAATCAACTGAAAAAAGCTGTCTGACGATATTTATCGACGGAAGTGAGTTTTGGCTGGGGTTTGCATCCATAATAGATTTAAATGTTCGCTGTGAAAATCCAGTTTCTTTTTTAAGGCGATGCTACACCAAATTCTGCCAACTTCGAGAAGACAACCATTAAATCTGGACGATTGCGCTGATCAATAGCCATGAACACTTATGTACAATACTTGGCAAACGAGTTTCGTAGAATCATCTGAAAAAAGTGCTTTTAATTAAGTAATCCAAACATCTAACTATTACGCCTCCAGTAGAATTATAATTTATAGATATACCTTGTCCGTTGTTGGAGATCCCTTAAAACATCTGCCCAAATCTGGGTATGTTGTTACTGAGATTATAATTTTGTTTTACTGCAGAGGCGGTACTTAATATATAATAAAATAAATGTACTTCTCTATGACGTTGATCAACTCGTGGAAGAATCATCCATAGATTTGCTTTTACGCCCGTATAGGAATCGCTATAAGGCTTACCTTCTATCGAACTGTGGCACTCTGTAATGCGTAACAGTTATTGCTTGCTTTTTTCATTCGGATATTATACGATTTTTAGTACTCCGACCAATTGGCAGCCGCGACGGAAAGTGATCAAGCGTAACAGCATATGAATCGCTGGTCAGCGAAATACGTGTTTCTCAAGCAAAAAATGCCTCTAACTAAAGACGAACATGTAAATTAATTAACGTTTTTCGGAGTAAAGCGGAAAATACAAACGTGAGTTAGATCAGTAAATCTTCCAAACCGTACGTGAGAACTTTGGCTGGCTTAAACCGGAATATGCTGGGAAGTGCGATGCGGTGCATCATTGATGTGTTGCCTCAACGAAAAACCCGTTATTACCGAAAATTAGTTATAACTATTCCTAGACGCATCACTCAAGCCCCAAAATTGCCTCACACACATGAACATACTCATTCAGACTGTTGTTTGCTTCAATATGCCGAGTAAGTACAATATCTTGGTGGTGTTCGAAACGTACCGCGGCGAAAGGCCACACAGGGCTGACACAACTAAGACAGTTAATACATTTTTATCTTATTTTAATTTGGAACAAGCTCAGATAAGTAATAAAATACATAAGTTTGGCGTATTCCTTACCTGGGATGTGTTTGAGAAGCTTGAGCGTTTGAAAAGGTCGCAGCTATTGACAAGTTATAAATAGAGCTTAGTTAAATTTTCCTTGCATTAGGAAAATTATTTGGGCTCTCGTATACAAATAAATATACAGTGCGCAATTGTCCGTTATAATTTGTGCTGTATATTGAAGCATAAGACACTGCCGTGTTTTTCGAATAGAGCATTCTAAATTCGTAATCCATGTTCTGAATATATAATTTAAGCAAGCTTTGGCTTCAAATAGCTAAATTTATATCTGATCACTACACGATTCGCTGTCGCTTATTATTATATTTCGCTTTTTCTCTTCAAGTCCTTCAATAGCCTCGTTATAGTTACCGGCAGAAACAGTGGTAAGACTTGACGGTGGCACCGATCTAGCTAATTAGTATTTTCTAAACAAGATACTGTCGACATCTGTTATTTCGCTGGGTTTTTGTTTTGCTGTTGTAAATAAATGTGAGATTTGAATTATGTATAGGAATATCTGCAGTTTACATAGAATGGCGTTGTAAGCCTATTGCCTTGTTGGCCTGATGAACACGTAATGGGTTCGAATTTGGGCGTGGGTAGACTTCGTTCTGTGCTGGAAGTCAGCCATCTAAAAAAATACCGGATGTGAAATTCGAAGAACTCTTTAGTCAGAGGAATCTTGGCATGATACAATGCTGAATTTTTTTCGCCTGGACCTGAGACATCGATGTCTCAGCATTCGTATTGCTGCGCGATCACAGATTATAATGAACTATTATCTTGAAGTTGTAAAATGCAGTCTTCACTAGTCCATCGTACTTCACATTCGCTGTATCGTAATTTTAACTTTGTTAAAATGAATTGCGAAGAAATCATAAAGATGCCCTAATGTGGCTTTGTGTCTTTGCCTTCCGATTTTTACTGATACAAAATACTTGATTTGCCATTAACCTAGTAAAGCCCGTAGCACAATACCAATAGTGC